GTGATTATGTGTGTCTGTTCAAAATGTTTAGCGTACTTCCCGACATGCAACAAACTTGAAATTTGCCATGTGGGTACTTTTCAGACTGTACACCATGGAAAAATTATAAAAATACACTTTTTTTTGGGGGGGGGGGAGCTCATGTACTTTTTTGCACGGCAAGTGAGCTGTGACGTAAAATCTGTCATGTGACCCGCGCATGTGGAAGCGTAACGCCTTGCAGTGTAGTGGTTAGCGCGCTGCGTTACGAACCCGGCGATCCGAGTTCGATTTCTTCTCACGCCCACCGGTCCTGGGCCTCCCCTAGGTCGACTCAACCTCAAATGAGTAACTGGTGTGGTGTGTGAACATCGCCACTGGGGAGACAAAGGCGGACGGGCGTGGTGAATCCAAGTCCCGGGTGAAGCCGGGTAGTAAAGCTAGTATCCCATATGTGTAAGCCTTTGTAAGTCGAACGGATCGTAAGACGGAAAACAATAATGCACCGTATTTAAATGCCGACAAGGTCAGTGTAATATAATGTGTTACGGTTCAACAAAAACGGAAACATTTTCAAACTCATAATAAAGCAATGTTGTACATTTTCATCTAACACGATAATAAAAAATACTGTATATTATAATAAAATATAAAATAAAGTAACATAAGTGTGGAAAAGTACTAGGTTCACTTACTTTGATGTTAGCTTGTTTTTCGGAAGGGGGCCAATGAGTCACCACAATTGTACACACACACCGGGCATGCGCGCATGCACACACACAAAGACACCCACACCCCAACGACAACAATCCATGTATAGCTTTCACAGGATGTATTGGGAAAGTACTCTCAGCGAGCAGCACCCAAGATGGCCGTCACTGTGGCACACGAGGGGGTGGGTAGCCAGCGTCACTGCCCACTGCTTTTGTCTCCCCGGTGGCAATGTTTAGTCCCCACACCAAGTACTGGTGTTGGCTGATACCAAGAATCGAACTCGGGTCGCTGCGTTTGTAGCACAATCACCGCTACACTACCGCTACACTACCGCTCCACACACCAATACTAATACCCGCCATTCACCACTAAGTGACGGTGATATCACCACGGCGCCTGTGCCAGGCGAAGTACACTTTGAGACCACGTGAAATATTGAAGGCTCGCTGATAGGTCTCGGGACAGACCCAGGTGCCATGGGTTGTCTGATTGAGATGACTTGTAGATGCACCAGCTGTACCCCCCACACTTTCACACACAATTTTCACACACACGCAATGTTCGTACAGACGCAAACACTCCTACCACGAGGCCGGCTCATTACATCTGGCGGAGGATCGCTCCTCTGAACAAAATAGTTCTGCGGATCAGTTTGCAACTGCGAGTTTGCTCTCTAAGTCAAAGTTATTTTTTTTTAATTTAATCGAAGCTGGTATGTAAGTACGGGCGTTCGCAAGTCGAGGGCTGCCTGTGTTGTCCATATGTAGAGAGACATGAACCCTCATTAGACCTTTTTGTGTCTCATGCTGTGTGTGTAGAGAGACATGGACCCTCATTAGACTCTGTGTGTGTCCTGTGCTGTGAGTGCAGGAGGAGCTCCGTCTCCCAGGAGACTCAGGATGACCCAGCCCCCGTCTCCCATGGTCTTAACCTCGCAAAAGTCATCTCAGTGGGCGGCGTCCAAACCAAACTTCTGCCTTTTCTCGGTACATCCCTCTGCCACGGCGATCTTCCTTAGACTCCATTACAAACTCCAGATTGCCTACCTATTTGGAGGGCGTTCTTTATTTTAACCAGGCTTGAGTGCATTAATGCAGTGTGACCCCTTCGCAAGGAAGACCTGCGTACATTTAGGTCATGGAACAGGTACCGATGTGCTGGGTGAAAGATTGTCAACAACACGAAGGGTCTCACTCATCAAGAGCTGCAAACAACAATAGCAACTTGATAGTACGTTTCTTGAGAGAAAAGGGCGACTTTGTAAGCTATGGACGAAGCACGTTCCAGTCCTGGCACGCTCATTTAGATGCTGACCATCACGCCTGGTTGCAGTGGGTTCACGGTTGGTTGACGAAAGTGGCTGCTAGGTTAGAATTAAGATGAACGTGAGCCAAATGATAAGTAACTTTTTGTACTAAGGGCGCTCACTGCGGGCATATTGGGATTGAACGTTAACATAAAACGAAGTGCAGGATGGAGACTGCAACTGTTTCATCATCGCGATGGCAGCCTTCACAACTCGGACTTATAAAGAACAACGGAATGTAAATAATTTACTGGGTCTCAGAGTTTCAGTCTAAGATCCTCATTTACAGCCTTTTGTCAAACCACCGCTGGATGAAGGCCTCCAATAGTGTGTCGAATATGGAGGTTGCTTAACCATACTTCACCACGGTGGCCACTGTGTCTGTGTTTTTGCGAATTGGTAGGACAAGGACCAGTTCTGATGTCGCTCGGCCCCGTTGTTAGCCAAAGCCGGTAATCAAACTGAGGTCGCTCGGTTCACAGCAACATGAGTGAACGACAACAACTGCTGCTGCACCCACTGCTCCAGCACGAGATCACTCTCACTCACAAGAGGTTCAGAGAGCCGGACTAAGGCAGCTTTTGGATTCTCAGAGTGCAATCACAACAAACGATGCAATCACGGTCAAAATACTTTCCAGACTAAACACTCACGCACTCTCGCTACTTCACACACTCACTCACCCACTGACTCACCCACTCACAATCTTACTGCCCCACCTCACTCTCTCACACTTATTACCTCACTCATTCACATACCCACTCACTCATCTACCCACTCACCACACTGCAGGTCACCTCACTCTTCTTTCTGCATCTTCCCTCGCTCCACTCCACTTGGTAGACCCCCCTCCTCGTCTCTGCTCCCAAGCTCCTACACGAACCTCGCCCAAGTCAACAAATTGTATTGTGCTGCTTGTTGCTGCACGCTCGACGTTTTGCGTCCAGAAACCGCGATTTTAAATGGAAATGATGCCCAAAGCTCAGAGAGCCACACTGCAGCATAGCTGTGAGGAGTTAAGCACTGTAGAGCTATGACATCAAGAGTACACGTGACTAGACCGAGTGTACTCATACACACAGATGGTAATATACACGCTCCAGTACAAGCACTGTTGTATACACCACAGTGGCTAAGTATATGTTAACTACTGTACCTTGTATGGTATACAGAAGGTCGTGGGTTCGATCCCAATCGCGATGCCTGTATATGTGGATTTTTCTCCGGGACCTCCAGTTTTTTCCCCTCCACATTTAGAATTGTGCATTTAGGGTATTTGGCTGCTATGCATTTCCACGTGAAAATCCACTTCGATGAGAAAAGAGTACGTGTGGCCAGGTCGCTTCTGAAAAAGAGCTACATAGCGCAGTGGGCCTACCGCTACATTACCACTCCCCACACCCACTCACTTTTACTACCTCACTCACCTACGCACACCCCCACTCACCCACTCACTCATCTATTTACCTAAATTCGCACTCACTCACTCGCCTACCAACTAGTTTATATGTTTAGGAGTTAGTGTACACACTGGGGGAGCGGTGGGGCAGCGGCTGACGTGCTGCACAACGTGGTGTCGATTCCTGGCTAAGCAGCGTTGAACTTGGCAAGTGCTGGGATGGGTGACCACCGTGCATAGCAGGTACTATAGGCTGTGGGGCTCTCTAACCTATTTAACGTATTTTTACGTAACCAGGTGCATGGCCCCACTGAGCTATGTAGCTCTTGTTCAGAAGCGAGCTGGCTGTCACAAATGATAGCTCCACCAAATGGCTGACATCATCAACGTCATCACGTGGACATTTATATCAGCAGCCAAATATACAGAGACCCATATAGATACTAGAGCCATATAGATATCAGACCCAATGTCATACATATAGGACAATAAAGATACCAAGGAACATATCGAGATACATAGGGACACATAGAGATATCCAGACACACATAAATATACATATGGACACATCCACATACATAGAGACTCAGAGATACCTGGAGACCCATAGAGATCCATAGGGACACAGAGATACAGAGAGACCCATATAGATACTAGATCCATAGTCACACATAGAGAACAATAAAGATACAAAAGGGACTTATAGAGATACATAGAGACCCATAGACTGAACTCATTTTATTTGAACAGATATGGCCCCACTGAGCTGTGTAGCTCTTTTTCAGAAGGGACCTGGCAATCACAAATGACAGCTCAACTAAGTGGCTAATATCGTCACTGTGTGGACATTTAAAGAAGCAGACAAAGACTCGATGCTGGTCGAGGGAAAAAGCAGAGGACTTGGCAGATCTTTGGGCAACAACATTTATTTAATTAAATAAAAAAAACTTTTAACTGTTGTGATGGGGTGGACAGCAGAGGGCATCGCAGCGTTAACTATTGTTGTACTGTACCGCTACGCTTCTACGTTCACGATCCCCACCAACTTTAAGGCGCACTGATGAGAGCGGTGAAGTATGGTAAAATAATCCCCCCGCAGGACGCACACGGTGCAGGGAGGCGCTCATCCAGCAGCGGAGTGACAAAATGTCTGTGTGTGGATGTGAGTGTGCGAGGCTGCGGTGGCTATTGTACAGGCATCTTGTTTGTAGAGAGACGCTGTGAGAGTGGCGTTAACATCGTGTTGCTGGCATCCCTGTTCACTACCACTGCACACACACCCATGGTCATATTAGTGTTATACTATTGTTATTATTTATAATGAATTATTGTGAAATAATTATTATTCACTAATTATTATTTGCGAGTGATTATCAGTATGTGTACACAGATACTAGCGAATATTAGTATGTTTAAACTAATACTAACGAATATTAATGTGTACACAAACACTAACGAATATTAGTATATGTACACTAATACTAATGAATATTAGTATGTGTACTCTAATACTAACGAATACTAGTACTCTATGCATTTGTCATACGCGTGATGATCACTGTATTACGTATCAACGTACCACGTACTGCGGTATGACCACAGCAACACAACAGACAACAGAACACCTGCGTGTGTGTGTACACGCCACGTGTGTGTGTGTACACGCCACGTGCACTGCTCGTGCCGCTAATGCGCACGCGTTGCCGTGACCGTTGTGCGATCGTCGTCGCTGTCCTCACCACAGATGGATGCTCGCCGACTCTGGACACAAACTCAGCCTACGACCACCTCCAGATTTCCTCGGACCTCAGGGCGGTGATGTGGAGCGGTGTCCCCCAGGGTCGTCCCCATCACCCAAACCGCTTTGATGTCTGGAACCAAGCCCTGTGCTCTGAGAGCTTCTCGTCGGGTCAGCATTACTGGGAGGTGGACGTGGGGAGCGCCGGGCAGTGTCGGGTTGGAGTCGCGTACGGGACAATCCCACGGAGAGGGAGTGGTGATGAGTGTGGCCTGGGAGGGAGTGACGTGTCCTGGTGTCTACAGAAACTTGACAACAGCTTCTCAGTCCTGCATGGCGGTGTAGCGACCTCACTGTCGGTGTCGGAGCCTCTGCGGATAATCGGGGTTCACCTGGACTGGGACGCGGGGCTGCTGTCGTTTTACAGCGCTGACTCCATGGCGCCGTTGTATTTGTTTCACCAAACCTTCGCTCAGCCCCTACATCCTGGGCTGGCAGTGGGGTGTGATGATGGTGCCTCAGCGAGGATTATGGATATGAGTGGCAGTCGCCACCCTCGTCACCGTCACGCGCAGTGACACGCCCGTGACTGGCTGGTGGCTGTCGGTGTCTAGGGGTTGCGTGGCTCTCCATCACAACAGGGGGGCTGAGCGTAAACAATCCTCACAACCTTCATAGGGGGGTGATAAAATAAGTACCGCTCTGTGTGTGGGTGTGAAGCCAACGTGGATGTATTCACCCTGCCAGAGGAGTGTGACTGTAGTGTAGGGGTGCAGTGTTTCGCAATGGTGAACTGGGATGTGTTTATACACCGGTGGTGTCATAGATTGTGGGAGAGATGCAACAATAATAATATTGATTTTTGAAAGTATAAATGTCGGCGTATGACAGTGGCATTGTGACGATTGTATCGTCCATTCTACAATAAAAATACCGAACAAACAACAACAATGTAGTTATGTACAGCGTCATTCGTGCTCACTGCATCCCCAACGCTGTTCATTAATTAAACACGAGGACTAAATCCTATACAAATCCAATGCCAAGCAAATTAAATCTACAAATTAATAAACAAATAAAGAGATTTGATTTGACGCTTTCGTGACTGCAGGAATTACTCTTTGGTTTTTTCGGTAAAGTCACGCAGAAATAAGAAATAATAAAACCACATAATAGCATACGACGCCTCGACCACAACGCAAGCAATCACCATCAGGCACAGAAGAGCCAAATTCAAGAGAGAGGAAACACAGAACCACAGACATACACACAGACACCCAAGCAGAGGGAGTCAACACAGAGACACAAAGAGAGACACACGCATGGGACACTGAGAGACAGGGTCTCCGTGCCGAGGCCCCAGCATGCAGGGGAGACAAAGAGAGATGGAGAAGCACACCAAACCGAACGAGACCCAGCAAAACTTGGAAACAATATAATATATTATTCTGTGCCTGATGGTGATTGCTTGCGTTGCGGTCGAGGCGTCGTATGCTATTATGTGGTTTTATTATTTCTTATTTCTGCGTGACTTTACCGAAAAAACCAAAGAGTAAATAAAGAGATGGTGACAAACACAAAAGGCGCCAACAATGTCTGAGCTTTTATTTAAAGCTTTCGTGACTGCAGTAATTCATATTCTTAGCTCTTTCGGTAAAGTCACGTTGAAGGGAAACAATAAAATATATATAAAACAATAAAAATTCTTACGACGTTTCGACCATAACACAAACGGTCGTCATCAGGTATCGGTCCTTATTTATTTATTTAATCAACGGCGGAATTATTTATTTATTTATACGAATATAAATACAAGCACAGAGACAATTTCAACCGAGAAGATGGATTCTGGCTTAGCAATCATTGGAAAGATTTGATTAACCATTTCAGTTCTTAATTGATTGTTCACGCTTACAGTGGCTTTCAGACAGCATACATTAATTTTTCGTCTCCCCCCTCCTCTTTTCAGAACATAGATGGACTAGTCCTAAATAAACTGCCAAATCGCTGTGCGTGGCGCTGACGTTTTTATATAAGTAAATAAATACACCGTTTAAAAATAAATGAATGAATGCAAACCGACACACCTGATGACGACCGTTTGTGTTATGGTCGAAACGTCGTGAGAATTTTTATAGTTTTATATATATTTTATTATTTTATTGTTTCCCTTCAACGTGACTTTACCGAAAGAGCTAAGAATATGAAAAATGTCTGAGCTGTTCAAGTTGTATGCTGCTGCGTCATGGACGTGGTGACGTCACCACACACGCTCCCCCAACGCGGTGACGTCATCACGTCACCCCTCCCCCTCTCCCCCCACCCCCCCACGCGCTTCCACCACGTCCACCCCTCACCACTGCACCATCTGTGAACACAAAAAGCTTCACAGCTCATCGGATTTCTGCTGCACTACAAACACAGATTATGACATTCTGGATTCCCGCCACTGGGGGAGTCCCGCGTTGGCGACAACAAAAACAAAACAGAGGCACTGAGGGGCAACCTGCAGCCTCGCTGTGACCCTGCACTGTAGAGGGGGCGGGGAGGTTGGTGGATCACAACCAACACAACCACCACCACAATCACCACCACAACCACCGTCCCATCCACCAAAACAACCACCACAACAACAATCACCGCCACAACAATCATCACCACCACTACAACCACTACAACCACCACCACGACAACCACCACCTGTGGGGGCTACCGTCCCCCGCCATCACTGAATTGTCGGAGCCGTTGCCCACCGACGCCCCCGTTCCATTCATACCGCTACCCCCCCGGCTGCTCTGTCAGGTCCAGACTACCAACCCCTAATGCCTCGCCCCCCTGTACCTCTGCCTGGGATGTCGACCGCGTTTGAGTAGCTTAATTAGCGGCTCGTACGCTTTGCGCTCGCGATGCGCTACCCTGTGCAATGGCGGCGTGTCGCGGTGAGCGCGCTTGCAAAGTAAAACCCCGTCCTGCACGGGAATAAACAAGCGCGGCGCGCCTCCGTGGGATTCCCTCCCACCCACGCTCCACGCGCTTAAGCAAAAACAAACACGCCGCGATTACTTTGCTCCGATTTAACGGGCTGTTTACACAGCTGCGTATTCGCGCACGCCAGGCGCTTAATTCGCTATTAGACAATCGCGCGAGTGCGCGCCCGCCACCCCACCACCCCGTCACACAGGCGCGCGAGCGCAAAGTGCTACTGTAGGCTATTGCGCAGGTACGCGAGCGCTGGGCACCACCGAAGATATTCGTGTAGGTACGCGCGCGCTGAACAATACTGTAAACGATCGTACAGGTAAGGACACTAAGCATGTTCTACTCCCTTATTCGCTGCTAACAGCCGCGTATGCGCGTGAACACAAAACACTCTGTACACACTCGTACCGGTATGCGAACACCAAACACTCCGTCTCCCTCCTCGCATTCACAGTGACCACGACACAGCTTTATCCTATTAGTGGTTTTATTCCCCGTGAGTATCGAACTACACTGTGTGTGTCAGTATGGACCAGCAGGACAGGTCTAACCTATCTCGCTACTGCCTGATACTTAATGGACCTGTCTGCCCTCTATTTTCTCTCCGAATTTCGTCCCTTTGTCTTACCTCTCTCCCTCGTACTTACGGTCTGGCCTCGCAGCGATGGAGGTCGCGGATAGATGATGTTGTAACCAGCATCTGGCTGTTCTCTGCCCCGTCTCACGGACGTGCGAGTAACAATCAGGTGACGGCTCCGCGATCGCTCCCTCCTGTTGATCTCCAGTCAAAAAATAATAGCCCCTTGCTTCCCCAAAGCGTACCCTTTTTATGCTCCTTTCAAAGCCCTCGTAGCGCCCATCCGCGGTGCATCACGAGTCAGGCCGTTAATCCGTGGTGCATCATGGGTAGGGCCGTTAATCCGCGGTGCATCATGGGTAGGGCCGTTAATCCGCGGTGCATCATGGGTAGAGACGCTAGCCCGCGGTGCACCATGGGTAGAGACGCTTAACCCACGCTGCCCCGCTCCCCACCTGTCTGCTGGTCCGTGTGTGTCTTGAGCATCTCCTCACTGCGGTTCTCAGTGAGTTCGCCGTGGTCATTTAATTCTAAGTCAAGCCACGGCGCCGCAGTGACATTTGGCCTGGGGGTGGGGGGGGGTGCCTGCCAATTCCCTGACACTGAGAAACCGTGGAGCACCCCCACGAGGGGGCCTCTCGGGTAAAAACTCAGGGCAGGTGCCCCCCTCCCCATGAGGCCCTACTGGAGGGTGTGTTTAGGTGGGGGGGGGGGGGGGGGGGGGTGGCGGGGGAAGTGCTGTGATGGGAGCCGGGTGGCTTCTCGGTCGCAGCAGCACAGCGACGGCCCCGGTTTCGACGGAGCGGCTTCGCTGTTGTGGCACCACATAGCCCCCTGAGGTGCCAGTCCCCGTCCCGGGTTGACTGGAGCACCTCGCCTGGGTTGCTCCCACGAGGTAGCGCCGCGGGGTCCGCGGGACTCGTCCAGTCCTCGTGGCCGGCCTCGGGGGTGGTGGCTCCGTCTCCCGGAGTTCGGGCGGCGGTCTCCTCCTCCACTCCAGCGGTTTTCCTTGATCCTTGGCACCTGCGGGCTGGGAGGGTTTAGGGGCCGTCGTCCCCGTCCTCCCTGGCCCGGGTCAGGACCCCCCGGGGCCCGGGGCCCGGGGCTCCGTGGGGCCCATATACCGTGCGAGGCCCCCGGGTATGGGGGGTGTGGGGACCCCGGGGTTTCGGGGTACTCGAGCGGCGGGGTTCTCCTTCGCTGGGGCCACCCTCCATGGTTTTAGTCGCCGGACGTTGACCACCATCTCCCGGCCTCTCTCCCCCCCCCTGAATCAGTACCGTCCAGGGGGAGATCTGTCGTCCCACGGTCCAGGGTCCCCGCCAGTAGGTGGTTAGCTTCCCCGCCTGCCCGGCCCCGACGCGAGGGGTGTGCAGCCATACCTTAGAGCCCGCCGAGTAGAGAGGGGGCTCCATTCGGGGTCGAGTCCCCTGCTCCTGCCTCTGGTGTGCGGCCTTGCCTTGCGGGTAGGCCCAGCCCCTCGCTTCTCGTAGGGTCTCCATCAGGTGCTCCACGGGGCGGCTCCCTTCCTCCCATTGCGGCGGAGGGACACCGAACAGCAGATCTGTGGGTAGACGAGACTCACGACCAAACATCATTAGGAACGGGGTCTGTCCCGTAGATGTGTGTACCGTGGTGGTGTAGGCGAACAGAGCATAGGGGAGGTGTTCGTCCCAGTCCCGTTGATTCACGGCCGCCATGCGTTTAAGCTTCCCGGCTAGAGTCTGGTTCATCCTCTCTACCATCCCATTTGCCTGGGGGTGGTACGCCGTAGTTCGGTCCTTCTGGATCCCGAACTCCCGGCACAGCGCCTGGAATAGCTCTGCCTCAAACTCACTGCCCTGGTCAGTAATGACTCGTTCGGGGATCCCGTGCTTCAGTACGTAGTGTTCCACGAACGCTCGGGCCACTACGAGGGCTGTCTTATCGGGGATGGCCACCGCTACGGGATAGCGTGTGAAGTACTCTACCGCTACGAGAATATATCGGTTGCCCCAGTGGGATCGCGGGAATGGCCCTTGCAGGTCGATCCCAACCAGCTGATTCGTTTGACTGACGCGGAACGATCTCAGGGGTACCTGGTATCGCGCTGGTTTCGGCCCGCATTGCTAGCACGCGAGGCAGCCCTGTACCCAGGCGGCCACGTCTTGTGCTAACTTGGGCCAGAGATACTGGCGACGCAGGGTTTCCCGAGTGGGCCGTTCCCCGTCATTGCCCCCGAGCGGGTGGTCGTGCACCAGTCTTAGCAGCTGGGGTCGCACCTGGGCGGGAACACAGATGCACCCATGCTGGCCGGCTTCGGTCAGCTCTCGTACTACTCCGTTCTGCAAGCACAACCGGGCGTACAAACCACTCCAGGGTCCTGGTAGGGCGTCCTTCTTCTCCCGTAGGGCCGCTTCCACCGCCGCCAGATCCGGATCCCGCAGCTGGGTCCGTCTCAGCTGCGCGTCATCGCGGCC